GGCGCATCAGACTTGACAAAGCACAGGCAAAACAGGCAACAAGAGCCTTCTCACATCCACACAGCCAACCTCGGGGAGTGCATGGTCAGACTGAAAGACACGTGTGTGCAATCAGATGGAGCCCACAGAAACAATTCTAAACATTAGGAGCTGAGCATGGAAGAGTCACTTGAGTGTACACCTTGTGCCCTCTTGCAAATGCCACCCAGGAATTTGGCACCAGAATTAGACATTTGGATCATGGTGATTTGGGAACACCAAAAATCTCAATTTGTTTAATTTTAAAAATATATCCAAACCCAAATAGTGGGCAAAAGGGCACCAGATTAATGTCATTTTTATTTATTCATGCCAGTTTCAAAACAAAGCACGTGTATTTCTTTCAGATGTTTATCATCTGCAATTGTTAAACCACATTTCTAGCTGATCATGCCTTGGCCTCTGCAGCAAAGCTGGCCTCAATATAGGAAGATACATTTACCAGTCAAGTATTAAATCAGGTATGATTTAAAAAAAACAAAAAAACAAAAAAAACCCTAGCTTAAATTGAGAGGTATCAAGTTACAACTAAATGTTGACTAGGAGTTGCCCAGAAATTGCACTTCATATCTAAATTATACATTTTGCATCTATCAGAGACATAAAATCAAATACTAGTTTCAAGAATTTTTTCCTTTTTGCTACTCATGCTTGAGAGCTGAAGAGTAGTAAATTACTATGTTTTTAAATAATTTTGCTAGCACTTTGGGAGGCAGAGGCTGGTGGATCACCTGAGGTCAAGAGTTCGAGACCAGCCTGGCCAACATGGTAAAACCCCATCTCTACTGAAAATACAAAAATTAGTCAGGTATGGTGGTGGGCACCTGTAATCCCAGCTACTCGGGAGGCTGAGGCAGGAGAATCGCTTGAAGCTGGGAGGTAGAGGTTGCAGTGAGCTAAGATCACGCCACTGCATTCCAGCCTGGGTAACAAGAGCGAAACTCCATCTCAATCAATCAATCAATCAATAAAATAAATAAAAATAATTTTGCACTCTTTCACCTTTTATTTTATCTGCTGTCATGTGTCTGATATAATAGGGAAGGTAATACATTTACTAACTAGGGATCTTAAAGTGTCATTGTCGATGACTTTGATGGAAACATATATTAAATGTAGATAGATACAGATATTTATCTATCTCTCTCTCTGTGTGTATATAAATATGTTTATCTGTGTATTCTAGATTTGCTAGAATAAAACACACCTTGAGGAGATCCTGGTCTTAGTTCTTAGTTATAAAACCTCATCCCCTACTTGTTTACTATTCTATACAAAAGAAATGATAAATTAAGAAATGTGTTCTGTTTCCTGTGGTCCTCATACTACCTAACGCTCAAAGACCTTCTTGGGGGTCTCATGCTCTACACAAGAGATTCAGGATACAAATCATGCCTTTTTGCAGCCTCTCCAGTGTTTTGCACTCTCTCTTTACCTCCCCACCATCTTACACAGAACCCTAAAATGCTCCTGGGATCTCTTGCAAGGGCTTACTCACAGTGGTACAAACTTCCAATGACAGTAATTTATGCCTTAACCCACTTTGGGCCATTTTTCCTGGCCACTTAGGCTAATTATCCAAGTCATTTGTGTACAATCAACAAGGACTTTCTTCCCTCAGCACTCACCCTCCACTTCATCCCACCCAGCGGGGTAGGCATAATGCTCAGTGGGTAACCGTTGTAATTATCTCCATGGCAATAGAGTGCAGTGCTATTAGGCTCATGGGACTCACCATAGATTCAGATGGTGGAGCCATCAAGCCACAATATCCGGTCTTGAACAATCAACCATACTCAGAAGAAGGTCGGAGCCCTCTGTAATGCATGTGATGAGTAATGCCAAACTGCACATAGAGCTGTACGTAGGGATAGGGACATTTTCCCCAACTCGTTATGTAATTTCTTTTTGCTGATGCTCTTACTGCTTCTCTTAAAACTCTCTTAAGTCAGGTCATTTTCCCTTTATATTATATGTTTTAGTACCCTTTTATAAAGCTTAGACCTCCTTTTAATCCAATACTATAGCTTTATTTATTTACACCTTTTTATATTCTGTACACCTGTACTATCAATACAGCAGCCATTGACATGTGTATTGAGCACTTTAAATGCATGTAGCCCCTGGGTTAAGGTGTACTGCAAGTATAAAATGCACACTCAAGTTTAGAGGCTTAATATGAAAAAAAAGTGTGAAATATTGATAATTTTATCTTGATTACATTCTGAAATAATATTTTGGATATATTTTGTTAAGTTGAATAAAATACAAAATTACAATAAATTTGACCTTACTTTACACCTTTTTAAAATGTAGCTACTAGGAAATTTATAATTGCATATGTTACACATATCTATTGGGCCACTTTGACATAGAGTTTAATGGATGATTCCTGTTAACTTTTCAATCTGAAGAACTGATGGCATGATAAAAAATATGTAACATTTGACCAGTATCTTATGCTTTCTAATATGTGCTCTTATATTGTGATTTGACTTCATATGATTAATTATTCCAGGATAAATGGAATTACTGCCATTCCACAATCTTCTAAACTACTATATTCAATTTAATTCCAAATGCTACATCTATCCCAGGATTTCCCTTTAATACACAAAAGAACTAAAAGCAAGCCAAGGAGACAAAAATCCTTGATTGAATGAAATTGTTCATTTCTAGGAGCAAAATGGCTGCTTTAAGGGCTTAGTGATTCCCAACCTCCTGTCCCTTTACACACACACACGCACACACACACACACACTACATACTACAAACACCATATTTGGCCAAGAGAATTTAAGAAATATTTCTGGATAAAGGAAAAATGGAGTGGGTTATAGGAATGAATACTCTTATTACTAGCGCAAAACACAAAAATAACTCTCAGGCAAAGGGAAACAATTTCCATAACATCAAGTCAGCCTGAGAAGCTGACAGGAAGCTTTTATAAAAGTGTGCTTTATGACAATGAGTGAACCCAGATGGAAGCTGTTTAAGAACAGAAGCGATACATGAAGTTGAACACAGAAGAGGAATGAACAGATTTGATGTGGTAAATTAACAACTGATACAAGGAAACACAATATATTGCACAAACACAGGACCATAAGGCTCAACCAAAAGGCTCAAAAAGAACAAAAGGAAATAATTACATAGATCCTCGGTCAGGCAACTTCTTTGCCTTTCAAGTGAGGTAAGAGTCACGTTTTCAGCCAACCCAAGGCTACTAGGGAAGGCTGAATCTGTTCACTTCTGCCATCTGCTGGTTAAAACTAGATTGTTTACACTGCAAAGAATTGCTGGATTCAGGAAGACCTGTAAAATTCATTTAATATCTCAAGAGACAGTGGATCATCTACAGGAACAGGCTGAGCATGGTTTGTTGTGCTGCATGGGTAGACATGCAGTATTATTAGATGTTTGACACAAAATACTATTTGTAAACAATAATCCTACCATTTATAGAGTACCTACCACATATCAGGCATTTTATATGTATTTCTGATTTCCTTACATTCAAGGTAAGTTTTATTGCCCTCTTTTATAGTTAAGAAAGATATAGCTTAGAGAAGTTACATCACCTTCCAAATGTCACATAGCTAACAAGAGCTACTACCTGGAGCTGAATCCAGGTCTTTCTAACATGAAAGCCCATAATGTTCCATTATACCACACTAAAGAACTGCCTAACAATGCCTGATAACTAGTAAGTACTTAATAAATGTTAGTTCCCTTCCATCATCATGGCATTTGGACATCGTTTTCCTATCACCTACTAGATTTGCATTAAATAATGCAGTCACTACCAGCCAAAATAAGACACATTTTATTAATTAGTGACACCTACATAAAATCTCTGGTTTCCCCTCATCACGTATTAAAGTATAAATAAAAGTCCCCAGTGCTCTTTCAGCCATTCTGGAAGCCAAGGTACACACTGGAAGAAGCCTGATGTCAATGCCAGGGAAGTTTTGTTTTTTATTATTTCTATTGGCAAGTATGTGATACTCAGAAAACATCTGCCAACATACATTCCTGGAGCCTGTGGCACATGTCTTGACATACTAAACCGGTGACAAGAGGACACTGATGGTGATGCAATGTCACATGGCAAATGAGAATGAGACAGGACTGGTCAACTGAGGAAGGAGGCACTGGCAGAGGCAGCAAAGAGGGTTGGTGCTTGCAACAAGGCTGTAGCTTAACAAGAAAAAAAATAGGTTGTACCTTCACAGCCACGCTCGATCTGTCCGCTCCGATGAAGGGCATCATTGATGAGGTCTGGCAGGCGTCCATTCAAGTCCACTGATGCCAGACAGCCCTGAAACCCATCTCGAGAGGCCACAAGCTTTGGGAGGTTGCTGTACATGCCTTGGGCCAGACCAGCCATGTAGAGATCACCTGGAAAGGAAAGTCAGTAGCAAAAGAGAATGAGTAAAGGATGTGTTGACTATGTCAACTAGTTTGATACACTTGAGATAATTCATCAGACAAGGGATAAGAGAGCTGGAGGGAAAACAGCATAAATGAGATAAGCACCAGAGTTTCTATCCTGCAAAAAAAGGAAACCAACATTTATTACGTGTCATTCATTTTACATATATCATCTCAAAAATTTAATCATCATAAATGGAGTAAAGATTAACAATACTGTCAACAAAGCAAGCATTTATTGAGTGCTTTTCATGTGCTTGTTACCAATAATATGCTGAGGGCTTTACAGACATTCCATCAAAATTTCTAACAATCTACAGAGAAACTAACAATTATCATCTTCATTTTGCAAAGAAAAGTAAATGTAAGCTGAACAAGGGCGAACACATTTTACCCATGACACCAGACATTAAATGATTCAGCTGAAATTCCAAAGCCTATATTCCTTCCTCTGTATTACGGCCCCTCCCACACTTTGCCAATTATCCTGTCACCACTCAGTCCCCACAGCATGACATTCCCAAGGTTATCAGAGAAAATGAAACATTCCTTGATGAGTCGTCTAAGCGAAAACAGAATAAATTGCATTACAGAATAATTCAACATTGTTAAAACAGGATATGGATGATGTATCAAAAACACATGGCACTCCGAACCTGTGGTTTGCCTCTGGAAACAGTCTATCTATTGTAAGAAAAGCTCTATTAAAAACTAAACTTCTTTACAGGGTTTACCTTTCAAATCCAGGTTTTTGGCACCATTGATAACCTGAGTGACCACTTTGGTGTCCACTTTCAGGCTATGAGTGTTACTATTGTCCCGAGTGATGACGACATTGTGCCACTGGTTGTCATTCAGGGGGCGATCACTGTTGCCTTTGATCACATTGGGACCGTTTCCGAGGTCAAAAACGTAGTGTATATACCTAGGAAGAGGAAAAAAAAAAAAAAAAAAAAAAACACCCAATAATTGGAAAATCCCTGAAGTGGTTTAATGGCTATGTGTGTGTAACTGACAGGGGGCTTCAAATCCCCCATGCTAAACTGGCATAATGCAGGAATAATTTAAATCTTGATATGAGATTACAAGAATAGTCAGATTTTATTCTATCATGCTTCACTTTAATTCCATACTCATCGAGTCCATTTCATTAACACTACCTAGTAATACTCTGCAGATTCAAAGTAGCACAGGTTGTACACTACAAAACGCAAGGGGGTGACCTTTAAGTTCATAGTCAACCATTAATCTGTTTTTGTTTTTGTTTTTTGTTTTGACTGTTTTCTAATACATGGTAGTAAAATGTCTTGAAGAAAGGGCAACTTCTAAAAACTTGCATATATGGGCTAATGGTAGGATTAAAAATATCTATGTTTCATCTTTTGTTATAAATTGGGTGGTTGTAGTTCGCAATACTCAAGGATTAGATGCAACACAAATCACAGTCCTCTTTTGCAAAAATAAGCTTTTCTTCTATAGTTTTAAAGGGCTAGATTTCATAGTAAAAAGTCTGTTAGTGTTGAGTTAGTGGAAGACCTTTAAATTAAAGCACGAGTCTCTCTCCTTTTCAGACCTAATAATTTTACGGATCTATTTAATCAAGGAAGATGCTGGAATGTCAGGAATGGAGGGTAGGGAGTAGAATAGACAAGTTATTTTTATGCCTATATTTTATGTAGAGCTTCAGCAGATTAAAGGTGTCCAACATAAGTCATGATCCCTTCTACTCACCCCTTTACAAGTTCAACTGCAATGAAGTCATTGCCATCACCACTATTGAAGAGAATGAAGCCATCTGGTGAGGTGGTCTTGAACTGGAAGAAGAGGTGCATGGAGGTATAAGCCTGAAGGGTGGCAAGGCTCAGGTAGCTGCTCTTGGTCTTAAAGGTGACAGGGTCGGCGATGATGTTCCTCAGTCCAAAACGAGCCTTCAGCTCACAATAATCAATGTCACCATTTTTGCACAAGTCAATGTAGAGAAGGCCATTAAACATGAGGCTCTGCAGATGGCCAATGAAGCTGGAGGGGACAACGGAGATGTAACGTTTCTCAGTCATGATTCCTGTTTCAATGTTGTGGAACTCCAAACGGGTATGGTCTCCCACCATTGTACCTGTGGAAATTGTAAATGAGGTACAAACAGAAAAAGTTACCATCATTCAGCACAGCACCCTCAAGTATATTTTTTGGGTGTAACTCATTTCCACACAGAATATTCAGTTTTCTTGGGTGAGTTCCAGAAAACCAAATATTCAATATGGTAGATACCTTACTTGGCCTCAATCAGGGCACTGAGGACTAGTGTTGCCCAAATTACATGTCCTGAATCCCATGCTCTCATGCTGCTGCTCAGCACAGCTTATCATGTAAGGGGAAATATGAGGTCATGAGTAACCCAGGCTAAAGGATAAAATTATTGGTATTCTCTATTTAGGAGAATCACTGGACACTAATACATACTATAAGAAGAGAGGTCTTTTCGCTCTGATCCTTGCAAAGACACAGCAAACAAGTCTTGGGCATTCACTACCAAGTATTTTTTTCTCGTGATAACTTACCACCTAGTACTTGTGGGAAGGGTTCTATTATAGAGTATCAGTTGACTTCACCTGCCCAGCAACTGTTACTTTATCTTATAATAAAATGTAATTTTTTTTTTTAGGAAGCTACCCACTCCTCTTGACCTTTCAACCACCTGGACTGGATAAAGTTGACCCTAATCAAGCTACTCAGCCTAGACCACTCAATGTATTTTACCCCCCTAACTGTCACAGACTTTGGACTACAGACTAAAAAACTGGTCATCACACTTTAGGGTGTATCAGAATCACCTGGGGGGCTTAGACCCTCAGAGTTTAGAATTCAAAAGTCTGGAGTAAGGCCTGAGAATCTGCATTTCTAACAAGCTCCAAGGTGATTCTCTTGTGACTGATTTAGGCACCACCCTTAGAACTGGCAACAACTCAAGCCAGCCCAGCCACGTTCAGCTCCAGAGCTCTTGCAAGCAAGGATTGCTGGAGGGGTAAGAAGAAAGCTTCGAGTTCCTTGAGGCTGTAAGATAATCAGAGGGATCAGAGGACTAGCAACCCAGAAGACAATTACAAAACGAAGCGAATCAGCACAAATAATATTTGTGCTGTCCTTTGAGACTCTGGATCAAGCCAGGCACCTCTGGGCTTTTTCAAACTGTGTGGCAATAGACTCCCTTTCATGCTGAAAGCATTTGAGTTGGGTTTCTGACATTCACAAGGGAAGTATCTTCAGCTGATACAAACGAACTATTTAGAACTTTCATTACCTATTTTACTTAGAAGTGGTGAGTGACTAGGGTAGAGGGGACAAGGGGGGCTTGAAATAAATACAAAGAGACTGGAAATTTTAACAACAAAATAAAGAAAAACATCATTAATGTGGCCAGAGTAGAAACTGGCTTCCTCAACATTTATACAGAAAAATCATGTTAAAACATAACAAACCATGTTCTACTTCCAAGCATTAGAGGGGGAATTCTTTCTTCCTGTCCTCTCTTCTTGTTACCTTCTACATTGAAGAAACTCCACTAGAAAGACTGATAGCATGTCTTTATTTTCTCTTTAATAACTTTCCTGAAGAAGTGACATAATCAGAAATATTAAGGATAATCTGCAAAGATAAGCTGTGTATGCTTAGCTCAGTCCCTGACATCTCCTGTTTCTCTTTGCTGGAGCAAGCTGCCTTCAGAAATGTCCATTCTACTGCACGCATCCATAGAATGGGTGTTACAGGAGCAATCCTTTTTTCCACAAAGGATGCCTGCCCAGTTCTGAACTATTATTCAAGTGGGCAATTCTGTCTAATTCTGAAGTTCAGTGGGTATAAGCAATATTATTAATGTGTGTTATTACTAATTAAAATGATATTTGCCTTCCATCCTCATTGTAATATTTTCTCTACTGGCTCAGAATTCCAGTGACAAAAAAACAGAGGACTGTATTTTCTTAGGTCTCTTAAAATTTAATGTCTGGGAGACTAAACCAGACCATACCCTTAAGTGCTCAATATTGATTTTATCTCTTTGGGGAAAAAACTCAGACCTAATTTAAAGAATTGGCTGGAGACAATGGCTCATGCCTGTAATCCCAGCACTTTGGGAGGCTGAGACAGAAAGATCGCTTGAGGCTAGGAGTTCAAGACCAGCCTGGGCAATATAGCAAGACCTAGTGTCTACAAATTAAAAGAAAATATTAGCCAGGCATAGAGGTGTGTACCTATAGTGCTAGCTACTCAGGAGGCTAAGGTAGGAGGATCACTGGAGCCCAGGAGTTTGAGGCTGCACTCCAGCCTAGGTAACACAGCAAGACACTGTCTCTAAAGTATAAAAATAAAATTTCTCATATTCCCTATGAGCACAAAAATTAGATTTACATGTTATGAGCTTCTATGTGGTGTTTTGACAACTAGTGACAAATCACTCTCTTAATATAAGAAAAAAAGATGTTGGTTAACTTAAATATAAATATCAAAATGCAACATAAATCTGCTAAAAAATAACTAGGAAATAAAATTGCTTAGTGCTAAAAATCAGACTGGTTGTGAAAACGCAAAGCAAGATAACCTAAATTCACACGCTCTAAATTAATAAAGCGACTGAAAGAAACATCTACTGTCAAATTGGCTATAGCTACTCCTACCAGGATGGGGAGCTGGGCTGGAAAATGATGGGGATGGGGAGTCATAGTCAATAGCCATGGAAACAGAGAAACTGAACTATGATGATGCTGCTAGTCATGCTAATTCTTATTTTACAAAGAAAAAAAAAACCTAAGATGAGAACTAAGTGAGAATGGAGAATCTCTGGTGAAGACTGGGGTTCCAAAAGGAATCTGAAGATACAATTTTAAAGTCAAGTTGAGAGCTTTCAGAGAAATTTTGGATGAATTGACCTCCAGGATTGAGGGGTTGGGAAATTCTGCTCACTAGAAAATTAATTTTTTACAGCAAACAAAAGTGTTTAATGAGATAGGAGATAGCAGAGAGACTGAGCGTGGATGTGGATAAGTATAAGAAGTAAAGTTAATGGTAGATTTAAGAGCTTAGCCCAGGAACACAAACTGAGAGTTCACGACGACTCACACAGAAGCCGCAACTAAGAGTTGGCTAGGGGATGGGGAGAAGGCCATGTGGAATCAAATTAGAAAAGGAATTTGCTTGGGAGGTCGAGGCAGGTGGATTATGAGGTCAGGAGATCGAGACCTTCCTGGCTAACATGGTGAAACACTGTCTCTATTAAAACTACAAAAAAATTAGCCTGGCATGGTGGCATGCGCCCAGCTACTTGGGAGGCAAAGGCAGGAGAATTGCTTGAACCCGGGAGGCACAGCTTGCAGTGAGCTGAGATCATGCCACTGCACTCCAGCCTGGGCAATAAAGCGAGACTCCATCTGGGAAATAAATAAATAAATAAATAAATAAATAAATAATAAATTGGCTTCACTGTGTGCTAAAGGAACTTATTCCTTTGTTGATGGAGACTTCAAAAAATAAGTATATTATTGCATCCGGGCAAAGCATGAGCAATTGCTGAAAGTTTGAAACCCATGCCAAATTAACAAAATACATTTTTTAAAATCTGTATGTCATTTAATCAATAGTAGTGACAGAAACCTTTCACTCATCTCCTCTGAATGCCGTCTGCAAACTGAACCTCCTTTCCACTTAAGGGACAAATATATTCATACTTCACAGCAGCTTCTTTCAAAGTTCAGGGGAAAGAGAAGTAACTGGGGAGAAAGATAACAAGGCAAAACCAAGACTACTGAAAATTCCATATAAGGCAGGCACTGTGCTAAATACTGCATAATCACTATGAAATGTCATTATCACAATAAAATTGTAGATAAGTATCTTTCTCTTGCTTTAGAGGTTAGGACATTTATTTTGTAGAGGTTAAGCAGTTTGATCAAGATTCACGCAGGTGGTAAATGGTAGACCCCTACATTGAACTCAGGTCTGCTAATTCCAAAGCCCATATCTTTATTAGTACAATGAACTGTCTTTGGAAAAAAGGTTTGACTTATTCCTCACATCGTTGCCCAAGAAAAGCAGTAGGTAGAATTTAACTGGTGAAATTTCCATGCAGAAGCTGTTGTAAGGAGTTCTTATTTCTTCCCTATGGCCCAGTATCAGAATGTCACTCCATCTAATTAATGGGTAATATATCCAGCACCTTCCCTAAAGCAGCAATGTTGCCTTGCCTCCTTGTCACACATTCACTTCCATATTTCACTGATGGCCAACAAGCAGTCCACAAACCAGCTCTTAGAGTGATGAAGGACGTATACTTATGGAAAATTCTGGCCACGTTCAAGCTGTAGCTTCCTATTCCTATGAAGCAACAGCATCTAGTGGATGAGCATGGAGAGTTCAGGGCTATACTGCCTGACTTTGCCTTCTGTCTCCAAGACTTCTTCACTGGGTTACCTTGGGGGAGTTATTGGATTTTTCTATGCCTCAGATTCTCATCTGTAAAACAGGCATGAAGTTAGCAGGGTTAAATGTATCAATTCATGTGAAGTACTTCATAGAGTACCTATGGCTTAAACTGTGCACTACTGCTAATTATGCCACATTCATTTCCCTCCCTTCCCCTGAAATGATTGAATCATGTTCTTTTCACTTATTATTTTTCTCTCTCTCTTTTTTTTTTTTTTTTTGGTGAGAATATGGGCTCTTTTTAAGTAGAAGCCACCTCTTGTGTCTTCTGTATGTCCCACAGTGGCTACCAGAGGGGTCTGAGCACAACCAGCTTTCCTAACTCCCGGGGGAGGGGCTTGTGCTTGAGACATTTGCTTTGGGGTCAAGGCTCGGGTCCTCACCATTTCTACACATGAGGTTCCTGGCCAAAACTAAGAGCTCAGCAAAAAAGAATAATAATGGGAAATGCTGAGAGGAAGCAAACTGACCTTTCGTGGCTCTCAGACTTGAGGAGAGAAGTTAAGAAAACGAAGACTTATAGAGTACCAGTAAAGAATCTTCATATTTTTCCACAATTCCCTAGCTCTACTGGTCCCACATCCCTTTCTCCATAATATCAGCAATTTTTAAAAGTGTGTAAGTATGGTATAAAATGCTTTATTAAAAAAAGTTTCTGGAACCCCCCCCCAAAAAAAAATTAGCAAATACTGCATACTTATCAATGATTTACAATGTACATTAGCTTATTAAAGTCTCCTAATAAGCCTTGCAATAAAGAACTCCATTTCATTTTGTTTGACCTAACACTCCTCAATTCCGTTTTATCAAGTTTTTAAAAATTACTATGAGAAATACATTTTAAATGGAAAAATTTGCAAAAATGACTTTGTACAGCTTGTTGCTATATATGCTATGTAGATAAGGAAGGGAAAAGTCAACAAAAACCAGTGTAGTCAATTTTTTGTATTAGCAAGGGTAAGTTTTTGTACTAGCAAGAAGTTCTAGGCAGAGGAAGCAGTTCATGCAGCATTAGGCCCCAATTCTGAGGAGTATAACTCAAGTTATGCTTGGTATAGTAATGTATTCTTAACAATAGAAACATAGATCAATCCATTATTATTAACTGTCAACCGAACTTAATGCTTTTCCAAGAATACAATCACATTACAATGAATGATAAACACAAGGTTGAGGAATATTTCTATCCTTGCTTTTGAATTCTTGTGAGTCAGACCTATTCTTTGCATCATTTCTATAAACTAGTTGAAATTGGACACACTGGGGGGGTCTTAGAGAACATTAAAGGAATTACTAAATAAGCCAATGAGATAGTACTTAATAACTTGAGGACTGTGGGTATTTTAGTTTCACTGCCTGATTTTATGACTTCTGTGAACAAAAATTAAAATTTCCCAACCCCTTATCACTGTAAAAAGCAATCCAAGATTGTAGCTCATAAGCAAAACAGCCCTTTTCCTCTCCCAAATTTCTTTATCCTTCTGGCTGCTTTCTTCCACCAGCAGTGAAGTTCAGGGGGTGGGGGAGGGGACATGTCTGAAAAGGAAAGAGTTTCATTAATTTCAAAAAATCAAATTACTGGATAACGGCATTTCGCGACTTAGCCCTGCTTTTTAATTATTAGTGGTAAAAGAAAGTGCAATTCACAAATACCTTTATTCCAAAGTTTTCATAAAAGAATAATGACTGAGAGAGACACATTACAGTATCCTCAGCTCTGTCGTTTTTTATGACTATACTTTTGGAGTATTTATTTTCCAGGGAAAATGAAAGGAACTCACTGTCAGGAGAGATCAGGGTGAGGTCGCCATCTAGTGGCTGCTTTTCAGAAGCGGCTGTGAATCCCGTCACCCTTCAGAGACAAGCCCAGAGTGAGCAAGAGATGTGTGACTTATTACCAGGGCCTTTGCAGGATCCAGATGCACCAACAGTTGATACAGTTCTTGAACAATTAATTCAGATTGGCTGTGGGCGCTACCTAGTGTAACCATTTGTACATCTCTTTAAAATGTTCATTTCAGAATGCAAATTTATGCTTCAGGCATGTAGACCAGGAACTTCAACTCCCACTTCTAAGTTATGTCTGTGTGTAATCGAAGTGTTTTGGATCATTGTGGTGGTGGTTCTGTTTGTCTCCGTTTTTGTGAGGGAGAGATCAAGTGTTGTGGCCTACCTCCTGTAAGTTTCTCAGGAGACTTTAATAAGCGAATGCATTCCCCACCTCACTCCAACCCGTTCCATTATATTTTTCCCATATTGTAAGATAAATTATTTTCTTATGATGGATTTTGAAGTACAGCAAGTGGAATGATTTTGTGAAATCACACTGACATGGATTTGGAGCTTAATTATACAACGTCCTCAAAGTTTCACGCCTCCTTTCTGTAAAAGGTAAGTGACATTAAGAACACTTACCTTTCAAGGCTATAGTGAATGATAGATGATTAAAGGAGCTGACATGCTTAACACAGCTAAGTTTCTAATGCCTACTGGGCACCGGATATGTGCCTAGATGCTCTTCCTTAATCCACAGGCTATCTGTCTCTACACACACACACCTGCACATTCACATACATATCTTACTATATTTCCTGATTCCAGAAGTATAGAAACTCAGGCTCATGAATATAAAATTAAACCATAAGATCCCAAATTACAGAATATTCATGCTGGAAAAGGCCATAGAAATAACAGAATTTCAATTTTAAAAATGAGGAAATTAGGAAAAAGAGGTTTAGTGTATCTATCCCAAAGGCATAAAACATTTTATTGGCAATGATTGTATTAGACCCCCCGGGCCCCTGACTGTCTCATTCACAGAAGAAACCATCGAGATGGCTTAGGATACTGACTGCATTTAACAAGGCTCAGGAATGTTAACTTTCCTAATATCCTGCAAGTTAATGTCAGGGCCCACATTTGATGCCAACAGTGTTACATGTAATATCCCATGCTGCCCCAAGTCTTCTTTCCCATATGGATAAGAATTCTGCTTCATAGATGTGTCCTGCTCTTGAATATCAGAGAGGGAAGACTTATAAGATAGAGCATGTAAAATGGCACTTGATGATAGTCTCTCTCTTGTACCTCAGCCTTCATCAATTACATTCACCATCAAATTCAGGCTGAAGATCTACCTTTATAAACCACCTCTGACTTCTCCAGCCCAAATGGGTAATTCTGTCTTCTGATTGACAAATTATAATCTCGCCCACCAAAATTAGAATCTCATTATATATTTTGGTCCTATTTTCAAATACCAGAACCCTATGTATTCTGCTTGATTGGTTCATCATTTGAGGAAACAGGTAATCTCGTCTGTCTCCATTTTATCTTCTGCAATTCTAGCATGCTGCTGACATAGAACAGACTCTTAGGAAATACTTATTGATTGTGTGGAGCTCTGAATGTTTCTTTCCATACGAATGGGTGCGTTAATTTATTCCTCACCCTTCTAAATGTAAATTCCACCAGGCCAAAGATTTGCTTGTTTGTTCACTGCTGTATTCTCAGTGCCTTATAAAATGGTGTGTGGTGAAGAATAGATAATTAATAATGATTAAATAAGTAATTAATTAAACCAAACCTTATTCAGCACCTTCTAAGTATCATGCACTGTTTTAGTACTTTACCTGTAATGTTCTGAATTTCTGGTTTGTCCATCTCTTCTGCTAGAGAGTGATTCACTCACTGATGGAAGGAACTGGCATATGGGAGGATGATTGACATGTGATTTTTGAATGACTGAATAATAAAAGGATCTGTAGAACCCTACATCTGTTCTCCAGACACATACTCTATGCCTAAGGAGAGAGACCCATAAATATGTAGTTATAGTTAGCAGGTAATTTCCATAACGCACATTGATGAAAAGGGATTGTAAAATACAGAGGAAGACCTTCTTAGCCTTGCCTGAGTTGGTCTACAGAAAACACGATTTGTGACTTCTACTATGCAAAATAAAAGGTTTTGCAAAACACTGTTCGCTTACTGAATGACTGAGAGGACCACGAGAGAAAAGAGAGACAAATTTCACCATCGTCATACTCACCCTCAGCCACATCATCATCCACAGTTAACTTAAGGCTTTTTCCTCTCCGCACCACCCGAACGGTGTGCCACTCATTGTCATTGAGCTTCTGCCCTGCATACAGGGTCTCTGGTCCTTTGCCTAAGGATGGTAGTAAGTGCCAAAGTTAGAATCAATTCTCAAAGTACTGTTCATGCATCAGGGCTGTCAAAACCACACTGGTGCACATGAGCCAGCAGCACTCAAGGAATTATATTCCACCCAAAGTCCATTCGAATTTTACCAATCTAATGGATTCTCCTTAGGAGTCCCCATGTGCAAAAGTCTCAATTCAAACATAAAGGATAATGGCACAGTAATGAAAAAAATTGTGCCTTCCTTTATCTCAGATATAAGGTTTTCAAATGCCAATGGCAGTAAGCAATCATTTACAGGAAGCTATAGTTAGCAGTCATTAATCTCTCAAAGTCTTAGAATCCAGATGCATTTCTTTAAGATAATAGGAAATTTACTGTAATATTTTTTCTTTAGAATAATTTGGCCATTTGGCATTATACACCAGTCTGGCTTTTAGAGAGTATCCACCAATAGGATGAGAAAAGGACTTTGCAACACATACTGCCTTAATTGACATTTCCATTAACACAGGGTCCTACTAGGATTCGCAACCATAGAAATCACAATAGTAAGCATTACAATAGTAATAATGTCAAGTTTTAAACCCTATCATAAATAATGCTCCTGAAGGGAATATGAGGGCCCCCAGACTTTTCCCATTGTTCATCATCCTCCAAAAGTATCCAAAGACCTAAAACCTGAAATGATGTAAAGTTCCAAAACTGAAACTTTTCAGGACAAAAGCATGACTAATATAAAGTTCCACTAAATAGAGGAATAAACCAAGTTGTCCCAAGAGATCCATGCTCCAGATGTTCAAGCTAAGGTTCAACTGAACCCTATAAAGAATCAGGGGTAACAGGAATTGTACTTAGGGGCAAAAGATGGCAAGAGAGACACAGAGGCATTAAAACGATCCAGTTAATAAAGAAAGAAAATGTCACATTCTTTTAGGATGTATATCATTATTGATCTGAAGTATAAATTTAAAAGACAAAGAAGATTACATAGAAGCAGAAGATAGACCAAGTTTGCTCTTTCTAGGAGGATAGCTGAGCTCATGAAGAAAGATGCTGATTAAAATTTTTGAATTAGTCAGTCTATATGTGGAAAGCCCCATTCCTGAAAATGACTAGGGAAAAAAAAAGATACAGCATATAAGTGGCTAATATTTCCCTATGGATATATGTGAAATAGTTTAGAAAACCATATACTTGGCTCCAACATGTACTGAGCACAGGGCCGAGTGCATAGTAGGAGCTTTAATGAGTGCTTGAATAATCAATGTCTACGTAGGTCTGTTTCTATGGTAACCATCAATTAGGGTCAATATGTATTTATCTAAGTAATTTTGAAAGCTTTATTACATAACTGTCACTAGCTACTCCTCCCTCCTATACATTCAAGACTGAAGATATTTTATATGGGGGAATATAAATCTCCAGGTAATTTCAAACTACACCTTTTAGTTTTGAGTAATTAGTATTCCTGTTTTCTGCTGGTTATAAGAGTTATGGTAGTAGTTCAAGTTTGAAGGAATTCTCCTCTTGAAAAATAAACAGACTTTCAAAGTGAAAAAGTTTCTTCTAATTACAATGAGCACAGCAAATAACTTATATTTAATAATTTTCAGAATGCACCCAAAGCTCAAGTGCAACCCACATTGACAAGAATCTTGAACATTTAGTAAGGAAACCTAAAGGACCTTAGGGAGTGAAGCCGTAAGAGCAATGAATCTTAGGAATAAAGTAACTCTACAATAAACCATTTTAGATTCCATCTCAGTTTCTCTTGCTTTATATGTTTGTCTCAATGTTACATAAAACGTATGTATTATAACAGAATTTCCCTACATTTTCAACGGATTAGATACCACTCTTCATTATCTTATTAAGTTCAGGTCTATGATTGATTTAACAGTTGCCTTCACAACAGCCAACAGTGAGGGCACTGAAAGAAAATGGACCACATCATGTGGATGCTTTATAAAAAGAATAGATGTTCCCAGAAAAAACAAATCTGTCTTTGGTTTTTTATGTTTTTATTCTCTTTATTCTACATGCAAATGCTTCAATAAGAAAGAAAAAAGTAAAGAAAGACGTGGAGAATATTTGCTATGAAGGCTGAACTGCTACAAGTATGGGCTATTTAAAACATCTTCTATAAGGTGGCATCTGTTCTTTAGGCAATTTTTGTACATCGCTTAATTTTTATGATTGGGGACAAGATAAGGGAAAATGACTAACACAAACATAGTAGTTTGGGAACATTGCTTCATTCGTGTCACATTACCTATAGAGTTATAAAACAAGCTTTCTTTCAGCCCAATGATGCTAACGTTTGGAGGTCCGTCAGCTCTTATGCTATCCTTGAGATATTCACAGTGGTCAGATTCAAACACAAATATTTAACTGTCCATTTGACTGTAAAACTTTGGAATGTGATGGCCAATGAATAAAAATGTAAGAAAAAGAAAAAAAGAAAAAAGAAAACCCACAAAACTGAAGCTTCTCATGCCCTACTATTTAGTTACATTTGATACCTCCAACAGCAACAATTCTTATTATTTTTAGAGTAGAAAAAACAAGATTCATACTTATCTCATCAAAGTGACATGGAATGGTATTTGATATTCATTTTCAAACAATAAATAAGTAAGTCCCAGTGGAATTTTGTAAAACTCCTGGCCTCCAGAAGTGGAGAGTCAATGGTATTTATCCTTAATCAAGTCAAAAGGTCAAGTCATTCTACAGAGGAAAAGTGATGTTTAAACTCAGCAGGAAATCTAGGCAGACAGAGGAGGAGCAAACCTAATCAGTAGCCCAAGAATAAAAGTGAATTGATAAGTAATGCAAGATGCAGACACAAGCTGAAGGTTGAAATATACAAACTTTTCAGGATGATCTGGTCTAGGGATTACTTTTTCTGGCCTATTCAAGCAAAAAACCCAGTGAAGTAGCATCAGTGAAACAATGAATGTAAAGAGTTCTTCATGTAAGCAAAGGATAGTTCAGACAAAAAGAAGAAAACACTGAAATTTAAAATGAAACTAGTGGGAACTTAAGAAAGATCTCAAAACCATCAACTTTCCTGTATTTTTATAACTAGGAAAGTTATGATCTGCAACTGGGTACATATTAGATATATGTATTACATGTATTTTTCCCTTTTATAGTTTAAGTAATATTGATCACAAAAAAATCCTTTGATTCTCTTGAGGCTGCTTAAACTATCACTGATGGATCTAAGTAGAGAATATTAATAAACTACCTAAGACTCCTCAGTTGAATTTCCCAGGTAATGACATTCATGCCTGGAATAAAGATGCAAAAGATTTCTGGGATGTAGAACTTCGTAAAAATAGTGTTGAATTGTTTACTATTGTAGAACAGAGAGCCTCTAATGAATGCCCTGCGTAATACCAGCCAAATGCTCACACAAGCTATCCTTATTGAAAACTCATCTAACACCATCTCTTTGAGGTAAGGCTTTGTTTCACAGAAGATGACCTAATTCTTTGTTGAATGGAGGATACAAAATAAGATATCATGGATGAAATACAAAGACTAGATTGTTTTTCTTGACCTATCCTACAATAACCCTATGGAACCCTTACTTCTTTTAGAAGCCAGAACGGATAATGAAATCAAACAGAAACATTAGGAGATAATGCATTGCTGATTGCTTGGAGGAAGATGACACTCAGATATTATCAGATTTTTCCCTCTTTTGGCAGACAGAAAATCGGAGTGTATGTTAAAAATCTGTATTTGAGCATTACTAAAGGCATACACCTTCATAAGGTGAACTGTGGATTTTAATTATTTTTAATTTATTTCAATTTTCTTAAAAACTAGACCGTTCATATTACATGAATTTGTTATTCCCCCCAGGAGCAATATAAGCAGCAAGACTACAAGTTACCCCTGACATACATGTGTTTGTCAATGTATTTCTAAGACCTGACCGAACCAACTAAACCAGACGGTTTTGCTCATACGCAGGGAGTAGAAATTCCTTCCATATGCCACAAAGCTCTGTTTCCAAAAGTGTATGGTGAACTATTGGAAACTTTTTTGCTGGGGTGGAGGTTGGGGAGGGAGGGGGTGATATCTCTGTCACAATCACTTTGCTTTACCTGACCATCTTTCTATTTATTCAAGGAGGGAAATGAAACAGTAACTTGATTTCCCGTCAAACTATGTTTCACATGAACCAAAATTTCTACAGTGCGTAAAATATATGAAAATTACCCCTTTAGAAAGGCATAGTGAAAGATGCATATAATTATACATCTAAATGATATGGTTAATAAATGCTCAAAGTGATGGACTGTGTTAGATTCGAAGGACATCAAAGATAAATCAAAAAAGAAAACTTACCTTTGCTTCCACCAGCACCTTTGGCTACGCTAGCTGAGCTGTGACAAGCATTTCACTAAGCCCATAGCATCACACATTGTATTAGGCATCGTCCCCAGACAAAACAGATCAGACAAGTAAAAGCAGGGATGATAAGGAAAAAGAACAGGACTGAACGAAGAAGAGGAGGACAGAGAAGGAAAAAGGCGTTTTATGTTCTGTCCACAAAATTTCAACTTCTGGTTGTTTTCTTTGGGTGTCTAACCCAACAGAGATTGAGGAGGTGTTTTGTTTGTTTTGTTTTGCTTTTACAAACTTAGTTTTAAAGCGCTCATTTTCACTGGAGAAAACATTTTAAATCATAATTTTTTTTAGAGCCAGTTTGGCAAAACACCTCAAATAGATCATTTCATTCTTACTGGAGTACTTAAGGCTCAGGAATAGCTGTCATACCTCCTACAACAGGTGTGGAAGGTGCAGGGAGCTTTCTTGAAGTCTTCTACTGAGAAGTCTCCCCGGGAGGTGTGAGAAAGACAAGCGACCCAGCTATTTAGCCTGAGCACCCTCCAGGAGCCCCTGCTTCTACTTAAAACCTACTAAAAACACCACCAATATTTATCAGACTTTAATAAGCAAACATACCATTGAGACTGCCACACATAA